AGGGAGAACATGCAAACTCCATGCAGCAGGCGCCATGCTCAGGAATCGAACCCATGACCCATTTACTGCAAGGCAGACGTGCTATAGTTACATAGTTAGTCTGGCTGAAAAAAGACAAAAGTCCAAAAGTTCAACCATAAAAAAAAAAAAAAAAAAGTTATAATCCTCCACCCACAGTTGATCCAGAGGAAGGCAAAAAAAATGTCTGAAGGCCATTTGTAAGTGGTGCGTCGGGGCGCCCTGTGAATGAAGCCCCGCCTCACTTCAAGTCCCAGCCATTGGTTTTGTGCGATGCATATACTTTGAAGAATAGAGAAGATCAATATATGTTAGGGATACCTGTTCCTTTAATAGAAATGTTGCATGTGGCCCCCGTGTGGCGTCCAATCAGCTTGGTTAGAATACAGACCCCTGTTCTAGACTAAACACCCCCCCCCGCTATGACCTGTCCTTGTCAGGCAGCGCGGATCTCTAATTTCCTCTCCGTTTCCTGTACGGCTTCAGTTCAGCTGTTCACTGCAAGTCTACTCCTAGGGCTGCCGCAGTCAGGAGGACGATGAGAGATGAACTACGCACAGCCTAGGGCGGCGACATGATTCACACTGCATCTGAGGTTTGTATTGGGGGGGCTGTTTACAGAAACTGTATTAAAGGTACAGTAATCCTTTTAAAGCTCAAAATTACAGGGGTGTTTAACCCCTTCAAGTCCGGACACTTTCACCCCCTTCCTGTCCAGCTTTCAGCGCGATCACACTTTGAATGACAATTGCGCGGTCATGCAACACTCTACCCATGTGTATTTTTTAGCATTTTTTTTGAGACCGATCAAACTTTATTTTGGTGGTATTTATTCACCACTGGGATTTTTTTTTTTTTTGCTGTATAAATGAAAAAGTCCAAGAAATTTTTAAAAAAGCATTTTTCTTATAAAATTTTGCAGATAAATAATATTTCTTCATAAATCTTGGCCAACATTTATTCAGTTATCTTTTTAGTAAAAAAAATAACCCAAATTCGTTTACAACCAAAAAGGTGTAATTTAAAGAAAAAAGTTTTTACATTTTTATTTTTTTTTTTTTTATATTATTTATGGTTGTTTATTTTTTTTATGTACTGTCACCCTAGTGACACTGTACTACTTGTGGGGGGTTATGAAGATTTTTTTTTATTTTACATTGATTGCTTTTACATCCATAAAGGCTGTAAGAGCAATCATTTCTCCTTCTCTCTGGCTACATTCTTGCAGCTATTGAGAAATACTGTGAGAGTTGTGATTGGTCACAGCTTGTCACATGGTGCAAGGCTGTTGTGAATAGCCTTGTACCATGTGATCATTCTCAGATTTCACACGTAGTAAGCAATGATGTCAGAAGTGACATCTTGCTTACTACTCTTCATGTGATCACTGATTGGCCAATCAGTGATCACATGATCGGGACCTCACATAGAGGTCCCGTAGAACAAACAGTTGTGCCACTGTGTCCAGAAGATACAGTGGTCACCGGATCGCAGTGCTGAGCACTCCCAGGGAGTGCGCACAAGCAGGGGGCGGGGAGGCTGTTTATAAACGGCCACCCGCCCCATCACTGCCACCATCCGGCCGTTTATATACATGGGCCGGACAGGAAGTGGTTAAAGCACGTCAACTCAGAGGCTGCCATTAAAAACCATCGATCTTAAAGCGTTCCTAAACACACAACAGTGCAATCAGTCTGTATATGCAGTAAAGCATGCTTGTTATACTCACTGTGGAACCTAAGGGGTTAATCCTCTACATTGTGTAAAAAGGCTGTTTGATCCTGTCTTCTCTGCCCCTCCTCTTGTTGAAATGACCACCTGATACAGACTGAACCTGTGGTCACATGCTCAGTTTGGTGTGTATTGCTAGACAGGGTTTTTTTTTTCTATGGAGAGTGTATGTGATCAGCACAGGGCCAATCCGCACTGTCCAGACAGAGGGTTAGAAGTTTCACATCCTCCTAGAAGCAGAAAGAAAACTTCTCCTACAAGATTAACCAGTGCTTTTCTGAACACTGATAGAAGTCACAAGACTGTAATATACTTGTTATATGCTTGTTCTACTCACTGTGGAATCTAAGGGGTTAATCCTCTGCATTGTGTAAAAATGCTATTTGATCCTGACTTCTCTGATCCTCCCCTTCTTTCAGTGTTCCATTGCTGGCAATTGGGTGCGACTTGCAATATGACAGTTCCAATCACATGACATGAGCCCCTCACCTAGTACTCGGTGGTTGGCTTCGGCTGGCCAGAAAAAGGTCCACCAGACCTTTTGGCTAGGTGGACCATATTGGCTCCCTGCCTCTGTCAGGAGCTTTGTGCCCTGAGGGGGGTCAGGGTAAGGTTGTACTCCTTAGGGGGTGGACAAGAGACACACCCTTAAGTGCACTTTTTGTGTGTGTTTCACGTGCACTTTTTTGTACACTTAGGTGTTTTTGCGTACTACAGCGACAAAGTGTTACTGAACCCACAACAGTACAAT